GCAAGAAAAAAAAATTTAAAAAATGTGTGTGTGTGTGACCCAGAAATGATCAAATACTACCAACAGAAAGCTATATTTGTGGGGAAAAAAATCTATAAATTGAATTTATGTATAGCATTGCATGACCACACAATTGTCAGTTAAAAGTAATGCAGCTCTGTATCGCAAAAAATGGCCTGGTAATGAAGGGGGGTAAATCTTCTGAAGTTGAAGTGGTTAAATGAGCTTGTGCATTGCAATGTGCAAAAACTGTGCCTGCAGCTTGTTTATCAATGCAAAGCATCACCACAGTGTATGATAGGGTGTGCACTGTAGCTCAAGTGCAACTGCAGTCACTATGTGTATGCACAGGGGGCCATTCTGACCATGCATTGTGGTAACACACAGTTTGAAGCTAGCCTTAAAGCAGAACTAAACCCTTCTATCATTTACAGCCAAGGAAGCTGCCATCTTAGCTTCTGTTTGATCTGTAGTTGCCATTGTGCTGCAGTTATGATGCCACCGTTTTGATGGCTTGACAGGTCAGTTGAGGGCACAAGCAACTGTTACAGTTATCATGCATGCCATTTATCTGTAGTGTTGTAATACCCTAAACCTCCACATCGAATCCAGGGCTGTCCCGCTGTGATCCACCATTTGGGTGCCACACGGTAGATCCTGCACCGCCATCTTTTTCTTTTCAGCTGGCTGCCTCTTCTGGACGTGATCCTGCAGCCTCCTGGACTTGTGATGTATATCAGGAGGCTGCAGGCCCAGATGCATGTCAGGCCTAGGCCGGAATGGCAGGTGGGGTAGGGCTAAAAATTAGGAAAAGTTAAAAACTAGAAAAAGAAACAGAAATTCCCCCAATTCCGCTTGGGGAGTAGGTGAGTGTTAAGTGGAAATTTTAGGAGTTAAGTTTGCCTATAAGTGCAGTAGGACCATTGCAACCAGTCTGAATTCAGCCCATTACAACAGGGGTCTCCAAACTTTCTAAACAAAGGGCCACTTTACTGGCCAAACACGACTTCTGGACTGTGGCTCTGGACCCAGAAATTGGCACATAGATGGAACAGAACTGGGTACAAACAACGACCACCAGTGCTTCAAAGGTTGGCAGCTCCAAACAAGGTGGGGAAGTGCCCGACCAACACTACATTGTTGCGAAATAAAAAAAGAAGCGCACAAACCTTGGTGTACCTCAGTAAACATTGGCAAATTTTATTAATCAGAAAGGTACTCACAAACAGCGAATAAAATAGGCATGTCCCTCACAGGGACTGTCAGAGATAGAGAGCCAGCGCCCCGTGTCAGTCCCATTGTGGGGAATAGTAAGCACTCAGTTCAGCTGACGCGTTTCGAAGGCCAAACCTTCTTGAGAGCTCACGTTTTTTATTTCGCTCCCCACTTTACTGGCCTATCAGTTTGACTGGACTGTGGCTATTGGCTGGGAAATTGTCCTGGGTCAGAAGGGGTACACAGTGCATCTTTGGCAGGGGAGGAATAGTGCCCCATTGTTGTAAGTATGAGTAATAGTGCTCCATGTTGGTGTCAGTGGGAGAAATAGTGCAAAAATGTTGGTGTCAGTGAGGGAATATTGGCCCAATGTTGGTGTCAGTGGGAGAAATAGTGCCCCCTTGTTGTCAGTGGAAGGAATAATCCCCTATTGGTGTCAGTGGAAGGAATAGTGTCCCATTGTTGTTGTCAGTGGGAGGAAGAGTGCCACTTTGTTGATGTCAGTAACAGGAATTATGCCCCATTGTTGGTATCAGTGGGAGGAATAGTGCCACATTGTTGTCAGTAACAGAATTATGCCCCAGTGTTGGTGTCAGTTGGAGGAATAGTGCCCCATTGTTCGTATCAATGGGAGGAATAGCGCTCAAATGTTGGTGTTAGTAGGAGGAATAATGCCCCATTGTTGGTGTCAGTGAGAGGAATAGTGCCCCGTTGTAGGTGTCAGCAGGTGGAATAGTGCCCCGTTAGTGTGTCAGTGGGAGAAATAGTGTCACATTGTTGATGTCAGTAACAGGAATAGTGCCCCATTGTTGGTTGTTGGAATTAGGGAGGAATAGTGCCACATTGTTGGTGTTCGTGGGAGGACTAGTACCACATTGTTGATGCCAATAATAGGAATATTGCCCTGTTGTTGGTGTCAGTGGGAGGAATAGTGCTCCATTGTTGGCGTCAGTAGGAGGAATAGCACCCAAATGTTGGTGTTAGTGGAGGAATAGTGCCCCATTGTTGGTGTCAATGGAGGAATAGTGCCCCATTGTTGGTGTCAGTGGGAGGAATAGTGCCCCATTGTTGGTGTCAGTGGGAGGAATATGCCCCATTGTTGGTGTCAGTAAGGAATAGTGCCCCATTGTTGGTGTCAGTGGGAGGAATAGTGCCCCATGTTGGTGTCAGGAGGAATATGTTGGTGTGCACCCCATGTTGGTGTCAGTGGGAGGAATAGTGCCCCTTGTTGGTGTGTCAGTGGGAGGAATAGTGCCCCATGTTGGTGTCAGCGGGAGGAATAGTGCCCCTTGTTGGTGTCAGCGGGAGGAATATGCCCCATTGTTGGTGTCAGTGGGAGGAATAGTGCCCATTGTTGGAATTAGTGGGAGGAATAGTGCCACATTGTTGGTGTTCGTGGGAGGAATAGCCACATTGTTGATGCCAAATAACAGGAATTGCCCTGTGTTGGTGTCAGTGGGAGGAATAGTGCTCCATTGTTGGCGTCAGTAGGAGGAATAGCCCCAAATGTTGGTGTTAGTAGGAGGAATAATGCCCCACTGTTGGTGTCAACGAGAGGAATAGTGCCCCGTTGGTGTCAGCAGGAGGAATAGTGCCCCATTGTTGGTGTCAATGGGAGGAATAGTGCCCCATTGTTGGTGTCAATGGGAGGAATAGTGCCCCATTGTTGGTGTCAGTGGGAGAAATAGCATCACATTGTTGATGTCTGTAATAGGAATATTGCCCCATTGTTGGTGTTAGTGGGAGGAATAGTGCCCCTTTGTTGGTGTCAGTGGGAGGAATAGTGCCCCATGTTGGTGTCAGTGGAGGAATAGTGCCCCTTTGTTGGTGTCAGCGGGAGGAATAGTGCCCCATTGTTGGTGTCAGTGGGAGGAATAGTGCCCCTTTGTTGGTGTCAGCGGGAGGAATAGTGCCCCATTGTTGGTGTCAGCGGGAGGAATAGTGCCCCATTGTTGGTGTCAGCGGGAGGAATAGTGCCCCATTGTTGGTGTCAGTGGAAGGAATAGTGCCCCATTGTTTGTGTCAGTGGGAGGAATAGTGCCCCATTGTTGATACCAATAAAAGGAATTATGCCGTGTTTGGTGTCAGTGGGAGGAATAGTGCCCCATGTTGGTGTCAGTGGGAGGAATAGGGTCTCAAATCAGTGGGTGTAAAAATGCCCCATAGGCCACAAAAGGTCCGCAGTTTGAAGACCACTGCACCAGAAGATGGATTCGCCTGTGTGCTTTGCGTTCCTGTCCTTACAAAAGCTTTATTTAAAAAGACTTTTGTCTTCTACAATGACTTTTCCGTTGCCAGTGTGGCTTTTTATCTCATGTTTAATTCTTTATCGGAACATTCTACAGTAATGTAAGTACGAAGCCATCCAGCCGTTCATGTTGGTGATAGATGAAGCCTGACAGATGCGATAATCAGTCTGGAAACTGTGGCCAGCGAAGACATCAGTGACTTTCCCGTCAAGGTAGCGCAGTCCTTCTCCAGGAGCATCTTGATTCTGCATTTATGCAATCAAACAGCCAGTCCAGGCAGAGCATGTAGAGAAAGTAGGTTACACATAGGAGAACTCATAATTAGAGGTGATTGGGGAGACAGAGCTATTAAAAGTCCTAAGTAGTTTTTCAACTCCTAGAGGCATCTGGAAAGCTGCCACTGTTGCCATGGAAACAAAGGAATAATTAGTTGCTGCCAAGGCTGGGGAAAAACACTCATATACTTCTGGCTACAGTACAGTCTTATGTAATGTGCAGTGTATGTGGCTCAGACAGTCAGGAAGCTCTCTGATATAATTATACACCCCTTGCTTCAATATCTATGTAACCCTTTCAAGGCTGCTCACAAATAGATGACACATTACTCTGGGACCTGCAGAAATGGAGAAGGAGGGTGGTACCTGCACATTTTAGAGCTATGAATAAACCTTTTAGATTTTTTTTTTTTTACATTTGATTGAATTAAATGCAGTTTACATCAGTATCAGAATTGAATTTATCGATGCTTAGTAAAGTGTAATGTCATTAAGCAATGGATGCACTGAACAGATTCCACCGCAGAATCACATGTACAAACTGTTTTCCCTGCCAAAAAATGGGTGATTCTAAACCAATTTTTAAATTTAGGTACCCCTGCCATACACTGTATCCGTGTTCTCCGCATTCACTGCAGTCAATGTACAGCTTCATGAAAAGACTCTGATAGGAGAGTAAAAGTTGCACACTGATGAGGCTGTTTTTCAGATTCGCAGTGCAGTAAAGCCTGACTGGTTTATAGTTCTGCTCCTTTCCCTTCTAGGGTAAATATGGATGTCTGACAAATTACAGGAGGCTAGTACAGAGGCAACTTGATGTAATGTTTTGAAAATGGGTTTCACTGTTTTTAACCACTTGCCCTCCTGACCAGGCCATTTTTTGCGATACAGCACTTTATTACTTTAATTGACAATTGCGCTGCACCCACATGAAATTCACGTCCTTTTCCCCCCACAAATAGAGCTCTTTTTCAGTGATATTTGATCGCCTGTGCGGCTTAAATTTTTTTGCACTATAGAAAAAAAAAAGACTGACAATTTTGAGTAAAAAACAATATTTTTTTACTTTTTGCTATTAAACATGTCCAGTAAAAAAATTTAAAAAATCAAATTTCATCATACATTTAGGCCAAAATGTCTTTGCTAAAATAAAAAAAAATCCCAATACATGTAAATTAATTGGTCTACGTGAAAGTTATAGTGTTTACAAATGGCGGTATATATACTGGAATTTTTTATTTTTTTTAACTCGTAATGGCAGTGATCAGCGACTTATAGCGGGACTGTGGCAGTCAATCTAACACTGGGGGGAACTGACTTGGTGTCGCTGACATCCCCAGTGACACCAATACAATGATCAGTTCTAATAAAAAGCTCTGACACTGTACTAATGGCACTGGGCAGGAAGAGGTTAACATGTGGGGCGATCAAAGGGTTAACTGTGTGCAGTTTTGCTGTGTCTGTGCTTTCCACTGTAAGTACACTGCTTTGTATGGCTCTGCTATGCAAAGCCATACAAAGCAGTGTGCAGGAGCTGACGGGCGAAATCTGTGTTGTTTATACACAGGTCTCTCCCCCATCGGAGATACTCGGCAATCACCGGGTGCCGGTGAGAAATCACCATCAGGGACCCGGTGATTGAGAGCTAAGCCCGGAAATGGTGGCACAGGTAATGGTGCGCACGCCCCCCTACCTGGAACTGCAAAATCACGTAAATATATGTGATTTTGCACACTGTGCTGCCCTGTAGCAGTATTTCTGCTATAGGGTGGCGCAGAAACGGTTAATAAATACATGACTGGATGAAGTGGACATCTTTTCTATTTGCCTAAACTTGCAGTGATATTAAAGGCAATTAAAAAAGCAAAAAACAACAACATATCATACTTACCTGCTCTGTGCAGTGGTTTTTTACATAGCAACCTCAATCCTCCTCTACTCAGGTCCCCTGCTGGAGCTCCTGGTTCCTCCCTTCTGCCAAGTGCCTCAAAGCAAGCAAGACCTTGAGCCTTTACAACAACTTTAACCCCTAGGCGCTGAGCGCACGCAAATATGCGGCCTCTCAGCGTCTGGGCCTTGACACCAAGAGGCCGTATATTTGCGTGCAATTAGAAAATACATATGTGCTGAGAGCGCGCACCCCGCGCGCTCCCAGCACATATGTTCGTGACTCACAGAAAGGTCCCGATCTCCCCTTGCGATCGGTACCTTTTCCAATCATGCGACTGCCGTGACAGTGAATCACGGCGGTCACATGACTCTAAAAGCCTGTCCGCCTCCCGGCTTCTGAAACTCTTAAAGAGCTGAGAGGCGCCAATAAAAAGGGGTTAAACTTAAAGTCTAAGTTCACACTTTGGAACATGTTACACCCGCATTTAAGGTGTAACATGTAATACAAAGCATTAAAAATTTTTAAAAAAATGTCTTTTTAAAAAATTTTTTTTTAAAAAAATGTCACACTGCCCCCCTCCCCCAGCGTGACAGTGTACAGGGATTCTTCTCCCTGCACTCGCTGTCACATTTTGGAAACCACTCCACCCGCACAGCTGTGTCATTCATTTCCAGGCATATGTGAATGTACAAGCTACAAGTCCTGTCTGCCACTGTGGCAGATGTACTTGTAGTTTAAATATAGTGCACGAATACGCTGTTCAGCTTGCTGTAGGCAGTGTCTGCAGGAGCCCAACGTTGCATCCACAATCTGTTGATCACAGGTGCAATCATTTGCAAGCTCCTGTTTTAAAAATAATAAATGCACAATTTTTTTTTTTTACATGCAAAAATATTTGCAATAATTATTTTTTAATAAAGGTGAACTTAGTCGTTAAAAGTAAACAAACCAATGCACAGAATGCAAGTGGAGTCCATATTTAGATCCTGGCTTTTGGTATGAAGAGAGGAGTCCTGAGAGGAGACCTGTTGCCAAGTACAAGCATTACATGGAAGGTGGGGACCTGATTGGGGCAAGTTCCAATTTTCAGTCCATATTTGCATGATCACTTTGTTAACCTCCCTAGCGGTCTGATTATTTCAGATTTTTGGTGCTGAAAGCGGTACCATTGTTTTTACATGGAAATATATAGTTTTTTTATTGTAGGCTGTAATTTTTAGGAATAACTCACTGAAATCTGTCCGAACAAGAGTCTATTAAACATCCCGGGTATGATAAAATTTGAAACACGAAATGATAAATTATAATTTAATAAATAATCATAAAAAATAATATATTAATAATACATTTAATTCAATAATATAATCAAACCAAAAACACTGAAATTTGAAATAGAGCGCCAAGTTCGCACATTGCTGAGCAAAGTCGCAAAATCGTTTTTGAATCATTATCACTCAATTCTGCAAGTGGTTCTGATTTACTATCGCTGTTCTTTAGCTGATCTAAACCCACTTTTGACCTAAAGGGACACTTTTTGGACGCCATGGACTTTTCTCAGTTTCCAGGCAGAAAGAACAGACAAAATGCAGGCAGGGCACAGGACAAAGCACTAGGGACAATATGTATGTGAAATTGGTTGAAACAGCAATGTTTTGCTATGTAAAATTTGTATGGAAAAAAAAGACATTTTTTAAAAATTTTCAAATTTCCCGCCGTCGGCGGCGCCCGTATGTCCTGACGTCACAGGGACCGGAACACAGAAGCCGGATGCCGGCATTGGCCGGAGGAGATGGCCGGGGACGCTGCAGGGGACACATCGCCGGAGCGAAGGACAAGGTAAGCTCTGCAGGGACTCCCTGTGCAGCGCCGCATGGTATTCCCCGAGTGTAGCTCGGGTAGTTACCGCTTTTGGTATGACATTTTACCCCGAGCTACACTCGGGAATACCGCTAGGGAGGTTAATGTACTCTGGGTCATGTAAATGTAAGGCCTTGTTCACACGGGGCGTTTAATCCATGCCCAGCACAGGGCTGTGTTTTACTGCCATGAGAATGCACAGGTGTTGCATTCATCCCTGTGCCAGCAGTCCCATAGCTATCAATTAAGATGCAGCAGCTACACAAACACAGCTGCTGCTCCTAATGTCACATCCATACAGGTTCAGGTGCATGGACCTGAAAGTACTATGACTTGAAAATCCAGAAAGCTTCCTGCAGAGCAGGGGGTGATGCAAGGCTCTTCCCTCACTGGACTGACCACTTTACAATAGCATGAAATTAAAAAGAATTTGTATCTCCTTTCTGTACAGATCATTTTATTTTATTTTAGGTACTTATATGGCGCCATCAATTTACACAGCGCTTTACATATATATAGTACATTCACATCACTCCCTAACCCTCAAGGGGTGTACAATCTAAGGTCCCTAACTCACATTCATGCATACACATACTAGGGCCAGTTTAAACAGGATCCAATTAACCTACCAGCATGTCTTTGAAGTGTGGGAGGAAACCAGAGTACCTGGAGGAAACACACGCAGGCACAGGGAGAACATGCAAACTCCAGGCAGGTGGTGCCGTGGTTGGGATTTGAACCAATTACCCTAGTACTGCCAGGTGGAAAGGCTAACCATTTAGCCACTGTGCTGCCTAGATCAGAATTATTTTGCCACTTTAGACGGACAGCATAGTGGCTATCCTTACCCTAAGTGGTCTTTCAGTACTCCTCCAAAACATTGGAGATGGTATTATAAACGTGATCAAAAAATCATGTTCATGGTATTGCAATTCAGAAACTGATGGATAGGGAAGATTAGTAACAACGAACTGAATCATTTTAGTTTTTTGGTGACCTTACAATAACGACATGTATTTACACCACATCTGAATGAACCTTTCAAATCCAACCAATTTCCTGATTTTGTCTGAATACTAAAAATACTTGGAAAGAGAAGTGAAGCTAATGTAGGGGCTTTTCTACTAGAAAACCTCCACCCACTAGCTCCAGCTGTTGGTTGTTATATATATGTTTACAACATAGGTCACCATGTAAACCTGACAAATTCTTTTCACAATACATACCACTTCTTTATACTCCATTGAGAAAGTAGGTTTATTGGTGTTATCCACATATTTTAGTCTATCTTCTCTCGATTTGATTTTTTTTACATTTAATGCCCACAATTTGCTTAGCTCTAGCCTCTGAATCAGTGGTTTACTTAGTACTTTAACCACTTTTCCATATTTATTCACAACAGAACAGTCTCTTTTTAGCTCATGTGAGTTCACCCACCGATACTGACTTAAAGGCTAAGTATAGCCAAAGCTGTTTTGCCTGTACTTCTTCCAAGGCTTAAAATTTTGAGTCTAGACCTACTAGCCAGGCACAAACCTTACTCTCCTCCAGTTGCCCCACCCAACCTTGCCCAGGTCCACCTCCAACCCTACTCCTAGCCCACCCCCAGCCCTGCCCCCAACCACCATTACATTTTTCTTTAGAATAGAGTCTAATAGAATGCTGGTTTACATAATCAAGTCTCATAGTGGATAAGAGGCCAGACTGAGCCTAGAACCTAATTTATGAAACCTATGTAAACGTATAATGTGTATTCACAGCATCTCTGTTATATTAGAAAGTCACATAACACATTTTCTGCCATTAAAGTATTAAAAAAGGACACAACGTGTTAATAACTGGATGTAAGGTCTATCCATAGACATAGGACAATTGTCACCGAAACCTGGCAGACTGCCAGGGGCATCCCCTGGTGACCATTTGTTGCATATACTATGTGTATGTTCGTGTCACCGATGTGTAAAGGTATGACACCATGTCTGGTGAAGACAACTCGGTATTCTAAAAAGCTTGCACTAAAGTATGTTAGGTTAGCTAGCAAAAAGGTGTTGCTTACATTTTCACATCCTTTCTACTATCTATGGCTAACGTGGCATATTATTATTACCGTATTGAGTACAGACACCAAGAGAAAGCACTATGCAAGTTTTCAGGTACTACTAAAAGCTATACAACATGTACAATAGGGTGTTTAATAAAAGATTAAACTTTATAAAAACTGTAGGAGTAGAGGGTGGACCTCTAACCGTACCCAAAGAATGTACAAATAACCATACATAAACTGAACAAAATTTCCACAGACCATACCCAAAAATACTTCAAGGTCCCCCGCGGCGGTGGAGAGCGGGCCTCTCCTTGTGTCCCCCGCGGCGGTGGAGAGCGGACCTATCCTCAAGTCCCCCGCGGCGGTGGAGAGGGTGTCTCCTCTCAGCGGAGGAGAGCGGACCTCTCTTGCACCTGTCCCCTCAGCGGTGCTGCCAGTGTAATGGCGGTGCCGAAGAAGCCGGAAACCGAAACGGAACTCGGCTTCACAATGAGGCTTGGAGTGCAGGTGCAGCCGCTCCATCCATCTATGCTCGCCGCTCACCACACAGGAATTTCTCCTCACATTTGGC